GCTTTGACTATACAAACTTTAGTCAGCAGGGTAATGTCTTGTCGGATGCCATGATCTTAGTTTTCTTAATGTTGAGTTTCAAGCTAACTTTTGCACTCTCCTCTTTCACCCTCATCAAGAGGCTCTTTAGTCATCTTGAAATGGAACCAGGCAAAAAAGGAAGAGCACAGGGTCCCTGTCGGATTCAACTTCCAGGCTGTTGGAAGATATTCCAGGTTGCAGTGGCCCAGCAGGCCCTCAGCAGGACATGGAGGTTCTTCCGAGAGATCCTGTCCTGCTCTGACAGTCCTTCATGGCCTGAGCTCTGTATCCCAGGTTCTGCACCTCTGTTCAGAGGGCGTCAGTAGTGGCAGAGTGGGGCACAGGGCAGGAAATGCACCTTGGTCTGGCCAGGCTGGAGCAATGCTGCACCAACAGCCATGCTGCAAGGATCAGTGCTGAGCACACACAGAATGTCAGGGTCGGGGTGATGCATGGCCTCCAAGGTGTGATGTCCCACAGCCCTTGGAAGGCCAGTGGGGCATCCTATCCACACTGCAGTAGAGTCCCATCCCAAAGCAGCTCAGTAAGTGAGCTGACGATGTTCAAAAGGTGAGGCAAATGGGCAAGAGCGGTTTGCAAACCCCAGAGAACACTGGGCATCCTTCACATTCCTGCAAAAGTGTAGGACGGTGAGGTCTCCATTTGGAAGGGGCCATAAGCACGCCTCTGGTGAGATGTAGTGGCCAAGGAAATGCATTCCAGCCTGAGAGCAGCTAAATGTGGTCAGATGGGGGACCAAGAGCAGCTCAATGGCTTAGTTGCAGGAGCAATGTGGGGGCAGCTGATCAGCTCCCTTCATGTCTCAGAAGTCTCCAGACCACAGAGCTCATCAAGGTCTGAGGGCAGTCATCTTCTGGCAAGGTGGTCTCACTCTGTGGTAGGGGGTGAGTGGGGAGGAAGTACATGATCTGGATATTTGATAAACTTTGTTCAAACAGTGGAAACTATGGTGTCCTATTACAGTGGAAGGCTGACACCAAAGTCAGCCTTGATTTGAAGGCCAAATTAACTATTGTTCAGGAGATCCATGGTGCATGCACAAACGTGTGTGCACAAATGCACACAGACACAACCACACACACAAATTGCTGTTTGGAGCTGCTAATTGGATCAAGGTGACAACAATGAGGTTCACCCCAAAGCTGAAGGTCAGAACCCTTTGGGCCCATTCTGGAACACAGCATCACAGTCTTTCTCTCTGGGTTTTGCCAGGTGACTCCATCGCTTCCCCAGGTCCCACCCCATTTCCTCCGACTGCCAATCATTTGGTGGTTTCCCAATATTTGTACATTCTTCCTCTCCAGTTCTAAAAGTTTAAACTGCATCCCCTAAGGTTTAGTTCCTGGCAATAAGAACCCTAACATAGCATGGTAGTATTTGGACCCATCCTATTTTCCACTGGAATGTGGTGCCTGAGAGTTTCTCTGAAATTGGATTTGGTCCTCAGATTGAAAGCTTCAACACTCCTGCCCTAAAAGAACTGTAATGCTTCTTATGTTTGCTATGGCCACAGTTACAAGATCACCCCTAGATGGGTCCAGCAGAAACTAGTGCTTCCTCAGAAGTGTGTGTGACCTTTTTGTTTGTGTAGAACCACCTCATTCTCCATTCCATACTGGTTATGAAACACACCTGAGTTGTTTGCTATGCAGCGCAGGTGGCTGCTTTTCCAATATGATTTATTTGCTTAAGATGATAGAGCACTGCAAAACATCGCAAACACATCCAAAATATTAAGCAAGAGTGATCTGACATGCATGCACTCCAAATTAACAGTTTTCAAGCATTACATTTACAGCCCAAATCCGAGACAGAGGCACTATGAATATGCATATTATACCAAATCAGTTATAATGATTTTTAAATTAACCGATCACCTTGACAAAACTGCTGTTTATATTTTTTAAAGAAAACAAGACTGTTTCACTGGGAGAGAGGAGCTGGTTGTGCATTATGGCATGTATGTTTGCGATTGTGCCTGAACAATAGAGATTTAAGAAAAATCTTTCTTATGTGTTCATTGTAGTGCATTTTGGGAGGTTGCCAGTGCCCATGGAAGAACTCTGGCTACCATGTGGATAGAAAGCTACTGAGTAAATGGAACAATATGGCAGCTAAATTGCTACAACAGATTTCAATCTACCAAGTTTGGGATTTCCAGCAATTTAGCGTGATGAAACTGGAGAACAGATGTTTGCCCAAAAGGCACCTTCCATATGAAGCTATCATCAGAAATAGTTGACAGAACCTAATTATGAAAATATCTCAAACAATAATAATCCTTAAGAGAAAGTTTATGATCAAATGATTTTGTCCTGTGTGCTTAGGTTGTGTGCATGTATGTGTGTAGATGTGTGTGTGTGATTTTTAAGGCAATTCTCTGCATCATAATTGCAGTCCAGTGAGAAATATACTTCAAAACTTCCTCTTGACTGGTTAATTCAAATTCAATTATAAAATAAAAGAGAGAGAGATCCCATAATTCCAAAGGGACAGAAAATAGGATCTTTGTGCTTTCTGAATTTACAGGAAGTAAAGTGTGTGTGGATTGGATAAAAACTCAACTATTTTCCTAAATCAGGGGTTGGGCAGCGTTTAGGCTTATGAGTTTTGCTGTTTTTCACCAAAATTCCAAGATTGCCCATGAGGCAACAAGGGGCAAAAAAGCAGCTCAAGAAAGTGGACATAAAATTAAAGAACAGGGGCACATCTAAGCACATGATCAGCCAGGAATTTGTTTTCAGTTTTCTGCCTGTCCCTAATCAATTAACTTTTACTAAAGTAACATTAACTTTTACTAAAGTTAATTACTAAATTAAAAAGCAGAGACATCACCCTGCCAACAAAAGTGCGTATAGTCAAGGCTATGGTTTTCCCAGTTGTAATGTATGGCTATGAAAGCTAGACCATAAGGAAGGCTGAGCGCAAAAGGATTGAGGCCTTTGAATTGTGGTGCTGGAGGAGACTCCTGCGAGTCTTTTGGACCACAAGGCGATCAAACCGGTCAGTCCTAGAGATCAACCCTGACTGCTCTTTAGAAGGCCAGATACTGAATATGAAACTCAAAAACTTTGGCCACCTAATGAGAAAGAAAGACTCCCTGGAGAAGAGTCTAATGCTGGGAACAATCGATGGCAAAAGAAGAAGGGGACGGCAGAGGATGAGGTGGCTAGATGGAGTCACTGAGGCAGTTGGTGTGAGCTTGGGTGGACTCCGGGAGATGGTGGAGGACAGGAGGGCCTGGAGGAATGTTGTCCATGGGGTCGCGATGGGTCGGACACGACTTCGTGACTAACAACAACAATCAATTAACTTTGGAGCCATGTAAACCAAATAAAAGTAAGACACAATATTTTTACATAATCAGTGCAGTCTATATATGCTGCTGTATGCTGAGTAATTGCTGATTGCTGGAACTTACAAAAACCCATAATAATAAATGGAATGATAACAGCTTACAAGTTGAGACATGCTTTGAGACAGGTGATTACAAATAATGCATTATCTAAAGTGATCCCAAAAACACAGTTCTTAAGTATTGCTTTATTACTGTGCTTATAGCCAAACAAGAAATATAAGCTATAAGGGTTATGTGCTGGGCTTTCAGTTTAAAAGCAAGACCACTTTTCACAGCCCATTCTAATGGGATGATCCTGCAATCCCAAGCAACTAATGCAATGCCATGTCTCGTTGCCTTAATTCTTGGTTACATCTAGTTTTACACAATGTGTGATGTGATACCGCTGTGGTGTGCATTCTGCCATGCTTGCTGCAGACCATTAGCTGTTAGTGGGGCTAGGAAAACACCCAGTGTAATGCTACTTTGTCCCAAATTTTATACAATGAGCTAACACCATCAGGAACTGAGAAGACATGAAGTGCCAGCAACTGCATGGATGGATTCAAAGCTCTATGAGAGGAGTTTTGTTTCTGGAATAGGTTGCTTTCAAATGTCAACTCCATTTTCTCCCTGCCCTGCCAAAATCAGCAAGGCAGAGCTAAGGGAACCTCTGAAACAGTATGGAAGGTGGTGTGGGGAACCAAAGAGGAAGGCTTTTACTGGATACAAACCCTTCTGAAAACATATGCAACACAATATATCTTGTAATATTCAGTGAAGCATCCAGGTTTAAGTCTCACTGCAATTGATACCAATGAAGGCCCTTAGGATGGTACTGGGATGAAGCCCTAATTAGACTTAGACCAGCACTCCACTGGGAGGTGTCCCTGATGTGATGCTCTGCTTTTCTACAGTAGAGAGAAGGCCTAGCACTTTCTGCATTCCCTTACACACAATCAGTGGGCAATCACAATCGCATTAAACCCAAAACCACACTTTGTAACAAATAATACAGTCAAAGGGGATTTACCTGACAGGGAGGCAGTGGCATCTTGCTTTGGCTTCTTTGCTAAGTGCAGGGCATTCTGGCAGTTGATGTGCAGTGACAAAGCAACAGGCTGCTAAATACCTTAGATATCTCCAAATCATCCCATGGTTGCTCTGCCTCTGCTGAACCTGGAACAGCTTTTGTGTTTTGACACAATATTGGAAACCACTTTCTCCTTATGTACTTAATGGATGATTGGCCACTGCTCTTTGAGAGTTATACCCAATTCAGTCAAGTAGATTTGACAAATAATGCTCTGAGAAATCAAAAATATGCTCAGAGTAGCTACTCCTTAAGAAGAGGCATGAAAACTTGACTTCTGATGTGGGATAATCTAACCATCATCTGTGCCAACAGGAATTGGTTAAGACTACAAAAGCAAGCTTAGGAGTGACTCATCTATTAGGAATGTTTGCAAATAGCAGACATAGTTCCTTCTTTCCCTAAGTAGATAAATCAGCAGTTATCAGCTAGGATCATTGGCATATAAATTGGTTACAGAGTTGGCTAAAAGAATGAGTCTTTTGTTATTGATTTCTCATTCCAGCAGATACAATTCTCCATTTCCCTTTATGTATTCAGAGACCGACTGTGCTGCATGTGGGTTCGGAGAAACTCTGCAATTTCCATGTGGGCAGATTTCAAAGCCATGGACAAAGCAGAATTGCCAGCCTACATAAAAAAGAAAAAAGGAAACTATTATGATAATGCCAGCATTCCTGCCTATCTACTTTTCTAGGACAGGACAGTAGACTTCTATCAAAAGCTGCACATGCTACTTTAACTGAAAGAGAAAACAAGCGCCTGCTGTGAAGAAGCAAGGGCATTATCCCTTCTAGGTGCAGGCAGACATAGATATGAGGATCTTGTGTCCATCTGGCAAAATCTGGGAAAAGATCCTAAACCAGCATTTTTCAGTGACAGCTTTCCAAATTGCAAGTAATCTCTTTTAATTCTATTAATACTGGGGTTTTTGTTTGTTTTAGATCAATCCAGAGAACACAAGATACAGAACACACACAAAGACAAGGTCTTGCACTACTAATGGATTGCTCATTAATAGTGCAGGCCCTACATTTCATGTAGAATAAACATGAGCTGCCTGTTGAAGGAGATGTTGATAGTTTCCAGCTGCACCAGTGTGCATACAATGAAAGGCACATGGCAGGTATTGGCTTGTTTCACTCGTTTAGCTTGAAAATTCTGCTTAAAAGTCCAACCGTTTTACTATGAGACTAAGCTTAATACAGCTTGTCTGGATCTAATTAATTATAGCATTTTCTCTCGTTTCCGTCAGCATAAGTAAGCCTTGCTTCCCGTGATGTAAACTAAAGTATGAAAGGAGACAAACTGCTGTATATTTAGTCTATGCTGCGTTTCATACAGTCTCACATTAGACCAACTCAGGATCAAGTAATTCCATGGACATCATCCAGTAGGCTTTGACTGGCAGTTTAAGAAACCAACGTGGCATCCCATGCATGACTGTGCAACCTCATTGAGGTTTTGACTGTAAAGGAAGAAAATGAGTTGCCACATATAATACAGAATAAAGCAAGAGCCCAAATGGTCTCGTGCCATGTTGGACCTGCGGCATGGTCCAGATCCATGCTGAGCCACAGGATTTCAGAGATAAGGGTTAGATAAAAGAAAGTGTCCATCTGTAAATATTAGGAAGAGATCCCATCTCAAAGAATACTCTCACCACCAATCAAGCACTTCTCCAGAAAGAAAAGTACTCTACAGATTTAATCTTTTAAGTCTGTTCAGCACATCATAACTTTAAAGAAGTGCTTGACTAATAATAATAATAATAATAATAATAATAATAATAATAATAATAATAATGGCAGCACTTTGGTGATAGTTACACTCTATTCAAATTATAAGAAAAACAAACCAAAGACTTTAAAATCAGGATAGGTGAAACAACCCAGGAAGAATTTCATCATGAAATCTCTTTTTCCAGACCAGAAGATGTACACATGTACTTCAGCTTTGGCATATTATGAGTTTTATATTCTAGTTCTTTTCAAGCATGCTGATGTTTATCACTGGCCCAAGGTATCATGGGATCTGTATTCTTATAGATGCATAGACAACTGGCATGGGCACGCTCACTAAAGCTACAAAACTCATGATGCTGTGTGACTGTGAACAAATAATTATGTGTAAGAATAATACTGTTTATGCACATGCTTCTGTGCAGCAAATGGCCAGAAGTAACATGGCTTGCTGTAAAATTGCAGGTTCTTCAAGAGGTACCTCCCCCACCCTCCACCATAAGAGTGAATCACATTTGCAGTAATACTTGACAGCAAGATTAGCTTTCATGTTGACCGAAACTACCACTCCTGGAATTTTGCAAGTGTCCATTTGTTTTCTTAAATTATTTTTACATTAAAACCCTATATTCCACCCAGTTTCCAGAAAAATAAATGCAGGGTGGCTAACAAAGAAAAACATAATGTGAGGTTTGAAAAAGTACATCACATCCACCCACCCTGCAACCACAATCATCAACAAGATGCCAACAAAAGCAGTCTCTTGGAACAATGAAGAAGTGTTCAGCCAAAAGCTTGTCTAAATAATATCTTTTTTGTTAGATACCTAAAGCTGCAATCATGTAAACACTTACATAGGAGTAGGACCCTTGAATTCAAGGGACCTAATTCTGAGTGGACACATACAGAATTGCAATTATCAGGGCCTGGTAAGTTTTGTTACACAGGGCTGGTGCCAAAGTCCTGCTTCTTATAAACACTTGTAGTTCATGATGTCTCACATCATGTCTAAAATGACGAATGGAGCACATGGGGAGGAAGAAGTAGGTAGTCTTACAGGGCACTTTTCTCTCACCTTGTCAATTAAAGTAGCATCACAGCTTGGATGAGTCAAGAGAAGCTTCACAATCTCGATGTTACCATACTGACAAGCAACCATTAGCGGTGACAAACCAGTATCATCCCGAAGGTTTATGTCAGCACCACAAGACAACAGGGCTTTCACCATATCTTCCCTATCATGGCTCACCCCCAGAATTAAGGCGGTCTGTCCACCCTAGAAAATTACAGTAACAAGAGTTATGCAATATGCCTTTGTGCACTGCTTCCAGTACTCTTCAGAAAATCCCCAATAACCCCAAACATCTTAAAACAAGAAAATGACTCAAAATGGTGACTTGATGCACAGAACACAGTGAAGAGATTGTGTGCTCTGGTTCCTTAATGAATGTACCCTCGTGTCATGCTTTGCTCAAGCCAATGTTTGTGTGATTTAAACCCAGACCATATTCTGTATTGTGCCTGTGGCCACTATTTTGTTGAATCACAAGAACTAAAAAGCTTGGAAATACGTTCCTGTGCTTCCTGATGATGATTACCTAAGCCATTCTAAGACAAAAGGTGAGCTGCATGGCTTTTGTTGAGTTGCTTCTTTTGTTTCATTTAGACAGAGCCAACCCTTTTACTCAAATCCCTTAAAGGTCTGCCATGCTGCAGCACCAGTAGGCATTATGCTACTATTTGATGTGGAATGATAGTGCATGTGGTTCATATGCTGCTTGATACAGTGCAGATGCGGTATGCATGGTTTCAGTGTGGTGCTGAAGCTATGCTGCCTTATACCATATCCTCTTTGATTTCCAAGTGCAAATAGCAGTCCCTCCTCCTTTTGCTGCTGCTGCTCTGCAGAAACAAGATGATATTGGATAATATCCAACATTAAATGAGTGGAAGGGGGGGAACTACAAGAAGTGGCATTGTTTCACTACTGTTTGCACAACTGCTAGCAGAGCAACAAACACAAGTAACATGTGGCCCACTGAAGTTATAATGAGTTGTGAAACAGTTTTTGGAACAATGGTTTGTGAAGTAGCTTGCTCAGGTAGAATGAAATATTGTACTGGACTGTTATGCATGGCTCAAAGTAGGTTCTCATGCAGTAGAAGTTTTGCACTAACAGAACGACAGTACTGGATACAAACACTGATCTAGCAACAGCATGGCTGGTAGCATTCACAATTTATTAGCGATACAACAGATCCAGTTGAGTTGATTAACAAGGGGATTGCATTATTAAAAGGATTTCTTGTTATTTAAGCAAAGATTAACATTTCAGGAGTTAACAACTTATAAAATAATAGTGGATGCCCACAATTATAGAAGAATAGAATTTGGTGCATGTCACTGATAAACAAACTGTAGATATACCTGACTTGCCCTTATGTTAACATTGCCTTCTTTCAATAGCTTTGTAACTACATCCATTTCTTCTTCCGTCTCTGCTGATGCTAGTGGTGTGATCATTACTGCTGTATACCCAGCTTTATTTTGGTGGTCCACATCGCAGACACCTAAAGAAGAGGCAAGATCTTTCATATATCTCTACCAGAATTCAGAGAAGCACACTATTCTAATTTGTGCCTCATGGGTAGCTTTAAGCACAGCCATTCTACCCCCCGCCCCCCGCTCCCAATCTAGCTTGTTGGCAAGGGTCCAGATTAAGCAGAGGTCCCTGCTGTTCCCTCTAATGATGGAGAGACGTGCCAGTGGTGGTAGGGCTACTATGCCAAGCAGACCATGGTGCGCATAAGGATAATGCAAGCAGGGTTTCCATAGCAGTAGTCTATGGAAGTCCCCCAGATGTGATGTTTTGGACTCAAGCATCTCTATGCTTGAGAGGCCCCAAGTTGGATCGCTCAGTTATACCGGCCTGGTGCTTGACCAAGAATTTACCTTCTTGCTGTGAATTAACAGACAGAAAAGCATTAAGCCCCACAGTGTCAGGAAGCAACCCAAATCAACCCTTATCCCCCCACTGTGTGCCTTGGGATGTAGGTATGTGCAAATAGAGAGGCTGAAGCAAACTGCCACTCCACTGCCCTCCAGGCTCCCGAGGAGGCTAGAAAGAGATTTCTGGAATCCTGTTGAATGGGATGTGATGTGGTGCAGGAAAACCTCTGAAAATCAGAACCAGATGCCTTCCATTCATTGAATGCAGATCCTGAATCCAGCCTCATAGAAAGATTTCAACAATATAATATACAAAGCAGTATACAAATAGTTGTAATCATTGTGGCTTCAAGTCATATTTCTTAAAGTATTGAATGGTGACTTTTAATTCATGGGACCATTATTGACAAAGAATGGCAAGAGCTCTGGACACAGGACAGGGACAAGTCATGATAACGGAAGTGAGCACACTTTATTTTCATGGACCTTCTCAAAATATGGTCAGGTCTGTGCAGGCCACCCTGTTTCCACAATCTGCTATCCCAGAAAAATCATCACTCAGCTCGCTGCAGCTTTTGATTTTTTTAGGCACTGAAATGAGGGGACTCAAAAGACTCAAATGGGATGGCTGGCAGAATTGATTCTTGATTCATCTTGATTCATCTCACTAGCATTCCAGAACAAGAGATCAAGCCACATTTACTAGCAGCTTCATTCATCAGACAGGAGAAGGCTCACTGAACCCACTCATGAAACTTTTTATGAATGCTTCATTGTTATAGCGTAAGAACAGTTTCTTAGGCCACAATTCTGGCAATGGTGAACTGTCCCACATTTCACTCGATCTGCTCCAAGCATGACTAAACCTAGGTCCAGTCACTTATCTATATGGAAGTAAGATTTCATTCGTTATGTATTATAATACATCAGTGCTCTGTAGGTTTGATACTAGAAGGAAAGGATTTGAAGAACATGGGTTTGCCTTTCTTGGGAAAAAGAAGGAAATTACATATTAAGTAGGCTTAATAAGCTCAGGTAGGCTTATCATGCTTAGGATGGTCCAGACAGAAGCATCCTAGCACATTTAAGAGGCATTTTGCAGTAGTTTTTTTTTTTTTTCCCCTTATGAGATTTTCCATGGTGAGAAAAAAATACAGAAGCCACATGGGAAAAACATGCAAGGATTAAAAGGGAATGGCAACAGCATCTGGACCACTGTAAATTCCATGAATGAGGTAGGGCAATCACACACTAAAAGCCTTGCTCAGAAGTCCCCTTAGGCCCACTGAAAACAACAGGTATTCAGTTTGTCGTGATTCATTTATGTTCCATTGATTTCAATGAGTCTACTCAAAGTCTGGAACATGATCCATTGTATCTGCTTTAATGTGGGAGTTTTCTTGTAGTCCCTTGTATCTTATATTGGACACCTTAACTTCCAATAAAGATGTAGCCACATAAAAGTAGGAGTTCAAAAAGTAATGGGTGAGATATGCAGAGATAGAAAAAATTGGTGCAATGGTAGGCTGCATACTTTGTATTTGCAAAAGCCCCAGGACTGGTTTTCATAGAATCATAAAATTGTAAGGGGCCATGAAGGCCATTGGGTTCAACCTCCTGCTGTTGCAGGACACCAATTTATGCCTTCCATCTCAGATGGCTATCCAGCTTCAGCTTGAAGAGCCCACCACCTCTCTAGGCAGCTGGTTCCACTGTTGTATTGCTCTGACAGTGAGGAAGCTTTTCCTGATGTCCAGCCTGAATCTGGGTTGTCACGACATAAATTGCTCCATGTCCTAAACTCTGGTATCAGCAAGAAGATACCTTTACCTTCCTCTTTGTGACAGCCTTTGAGGTACTTATAGAGTGATATGTTCCCCTTCAGTCTTTTCTTCTCAAGGCTGAATATGCCCAGTTCTCCCAGCCTCTCATCATAAGGCAGTGTTTTCCAAACACTGGATCATTTTTGTTGGCCTCCTCTGGACCCTTTCTAATTTTTCTGCATCTTTCTGAAATCTTCATGCCCAGAATTGGACATAGTATTACAGAGGAGGTCTGAATAGTGTGGCCTATAGGAGAACTACTACTACTTCTCGTGATTTGGAGGTAATATGACTCCTAATGCATCCCAAAATATTATTTGCCCTTTTTGCAGCTGCATTGCATTGTTGGTTCATATTTCGCCTGCTGTCTGCAATAACTCCAAGGTCTTTTTCAGTTTCGTTGAGCCACACATTCCCCATCTTGTACTGATGCATTTAGTTTCTTTTTCCTAGGTGGAGGACTTGGCACTTGTCCTTACTGAATCTCATTCTGTTGCTCTCAGCCCAGTGTTCAAGTTTATCAAGATCGCCCTGGATCTTCATTCTATCTTCTAGGGTGTTTGCTATTCCACTCAGTTTCGTATCATCTGCAAATCTGATTATCTTTCCTTGTACTTTCTCATCTAAATCTTTAGTAAAGATGTTGAAGAGGACCTGGCCCAGGACTGAACCCTGAGGTGCCCCACTAGTTACCTCCTTCCAGTTTGAAAAGGTGCCACTGATAAGCACCCTTTTTGTCCAATTTAGCAGCCATTTTTGAATCCAACTCATAGTTTTTCTGTCTAGTCCACTCTTTGCGAATTTGTTTATCAGAATGTCAGGTGGCACTAGGTTGAAAGCTTTGCTAAAGTCAAAGTAGAATCTCAGTGTTTCGTTATTTTTCAAACAAAAGTTCTCAAGGAGAAGGACTAGGAAAGACCTGTGCTTGGAGAACTGCGGCAGCTCCGAGCTGACAGTACAGGGCTTTTGTAAGGTTTGTATCATTCCTAGCACTCCAGAGCATGCTAGTATTTTCCCTCTTTCATAAATCTGAAATGAGTTTGTACTTATACTCAATGTGTAGCTTTAAATATAGTTGCCGGGGGCATCTAGTAAGAGAACAAAACAGTCTTGTTGCCATATTCTAGAGCTGCTTGGAAGTCTTAGAGTAACAATTGATTTATAGACACATATGATAATATGCCATTTTCCTAACATCATACTGGTTGTCATGCCAAAGTTGAAGTCAAAGAACTTCTTTCTTCTACTGGGAAATACATGCATGTTTACTGGACAAAAATCTTTGAGGGCATTTTACTCTTTCACATCAGAATGCATTTGTTCTTGCTGAACTCTGGTTTGCTGTTAAAGTTTTGAAGGCTTGCACATCACAATGCTTGATTATGAAGTATGGTACCTACTGTGAATATCACAAGTCAACCAGATCAGTATTTCAGGGTACATTTTTACTAACAGCCAATTGTTTTGTGGGTTCCATTCAAGATATTGGTGTTTTTGAAGGTGCAATTCTCTACATGTTCAGGCAGAAAATGGCCCTAAAGCTGCCAGGATGGGGTACCCTCACAACCAGATCAAGGCCTAATACACAAAGGCAAGAGAGTAGGATGCATCCATGGAGGAAAAGAAACCAAGTCCCAGGTTTGGCCATCAGAATGGAGATTAAAAGGCAGTTTTAGGGAAGGTGTTGCTATCACAACAAATGGAAATAGTTTTCAATTCTAACAAAGTAATAAATGGATTCTTACCAGTGTCTAAAAGAAGTTTCACAATCTGAAAGTTGGAATGGGAAACGCTGTAGTGAAGTGCAGTATTGCCATTTCCATCAGCTAAGTTTACAATGGCATTCTGTAACTGTGGATGAATAGCCTCAACCGCTTGGAGATAAGCTGCAACAATTTCAGGGCTGGAGGATTTCCTGCTTGAGATTCTGAACCACTCCTGGCAGATCGTGCTCAAAACATGCCTCTAAAAAGACAAACCTTTGACTCAGTCCAACAGTAAGGGTCTTTTAAGTTACTTACTTACTTATTTAAGATATTAATACGCCATCCGGTCGCAAAAGCCTCAGGACGGCTTACACAAAAAACATAAAATATAACATAAATAAATTCCCGACCCACGCTGGCTGCAGTTAAAAATATAGAAAAGACAATATTAAAACTTATTAAAATATTGCTGGAATAAAAAGGTCTTGACCTGGCGCCGAAAAACAAATAACAACGGCGCCAGTCAGACCTCTCTGGGGAGCGCATTCCATAGGTGGGGCGCCACCGCAGAGAAAGTCCTCCTCCATTTACTTATCCATTTTCTTATATGTTTCACTCCCAACACAATTATTAATCCTTTCCATTGACCCTCATTTTGTAAGGCTGTGGTATTACACTGGGTTCCACAGAACCCTCTGGGATGGCGCACCATTTCTACTGTGATCGCAAACAGGAATGGCTGGGCAACATGCAGAGGCTGCTACATGGCTGATTTCCACGTGCTTTTGCTGGGAAATGAGTGGCTCTCCATGCTAAGGGGAGTGTAGCTTCCAGGGTAAAAAGTGTGGCTGCAGCAGAGTCCGTGCCATGAGGGTAGTGGCCCAGAGGGAGCCATAACACTCCTTGGCAGGCCACATATTGCCCTGCCCACTTTGCAGAAGCTTTATAAAGTGTCACCACTGTTATCTGCTTAGGTGTCCAGTACCTAAATGTGAGAAGGAAAACAGTGAATGTATAAATCTTTGTTGTTTGGATAGGCAGTAGGATCAAAAAAAGTTCTCTTTTGTTGCCCTAAGTTGTGCTTTGTGAAGGTAAATGCAACTGATTTTTATGGAAACATGATATTTTTCTTAGTTGATTTACACAAATTAATAAAATACATTTGCAAAAATCTGTTTCATTCTTACTGCATATCATCCCTGTATTTAGCCCATAATTTAATCATTGCACAGTGCAATCATATATGTACCTGCTCAGATATGTACCATTAAGTCTCATTAATGGTGCTTAGTCCCAGTTACATGGATATAGGATTGTGCTTTAGATTTTTAAGAGTGGCCTTGAAGTTAATTATAACATATCTATGAGCAGGCAGTGTTGTCGTAACAGTAACTTACTACTAATCTTTAGTGTAGGATCAGTTTCTTAAGTGAAGTTTGAAGTGGGAGATAGTTAAAATGCAACTGAAGAATATCTGTACCAGTAATTTGTCCTTTGTGATCCTTTCTTCAGGCAGGTGTTTGTTTAAGATCTGACAGCCTTTCAGAAAATCTGCCGAGGGGTAACATCTGAAAGTGAAAAATATACTCATAGATTTACAGTAGACCATATATACAGACACACTGGAGACTGGGGGGAATTATGTTGTTATAAAACTGGGAAATTGTAAATGTGCAACTTTAAACAGCTCACTACTATGAAATAATTCTTTTTTAGGCATGCAAACTACCTAACCAACTTCAACACAAAGGCTAAAAGGAGCAGGGGAGGAAAGCCCAAATACAACAATTTAGAATTAGGGGCTGATGGGACTTTTACCACATGGACTAAACTAGACAAGATGCAGGCAACATGGTGACCAAGGATAGCAATCCCCCCATTAGATAACTGTTAATTATCTGTTTCTAAAAACAAAATGAGACAAGACGAGACGAGACGAGATGCGATGAAACAAATAAGGCGGGGGCAGAGAAAAATTATGGGAGGGCATAATTTCTCAAACCCTAAGTTAGACTTAAAGATGCTTAATTTCATGTTGGATTGCAGTTATTATTTCTTATGTGGAATTGGTAGTCTTAGTTCTGAACAGAACAGGGCTAACAACCAGCTCACAACGGTTTTTCCTCCAGAGAAAGTCTTTCCTGACAATGTGATGGGTCCACCCATGAGTTTTTATACAATGGCACTGATTGTGCTGTGTGATGGCTTTGGCAGGACAGATGCAATACCCTGGATGTCACCTGTTTCCCCATTGTGCTATATTGCCAGCCAGTAAAAGGACCTGCCTCCAGAGGTTAGAATAGCCCTTAGTTTGGTTCAGTGGAGCCTTCAAGCTACACATCTGTCAAAGTTGCACACACATTGCTAGCCTGAGTAAACCCTTAAGTGTGACACCTTCCATGGTGCACCTTGATAACCCTCTGAAACAGGGGCCTGTCACACCATTCCCCTGAGGTATTGGTGCCCCACCACAGGGGAGAAGGAACAGATGTATAACTCTCTTCCTTGGATTACTTTTGCTTCTGGCAAAGCTATGCTATGTTTAGAGAACTCTGTCATGTAATGACTAAACATGGTACTGGAGGGTTCAAATACATAAACATATTAATCAATGCACTTAAAACATCAAAAATCCCCCAGAGCTCCTTGAATATGCATGCCAAGTTTCAGATGTCCAGGTTTCATGATCTTGGACAGAGACACAGCTTGTCTTCATTATTACAGATTTTGTCCTTCAGAATGCTATGTGCATTTTAATGAATCACTATTCCAGAAAGAGATCATCTGTATCTCACAACCATGATATTCACTATTGTTTCTCTTGACCTATATCATCCCACCTGTTAATAATAGGAGTAGAATATTACTACTCTTGGTTTCCTAGAATAATGGCTAGAATAATGGCGTATGTTAATAATAATCTTTACTCACCCCTCTGTCCTGCACTGTATGTTTGTTGTTGCAGTTTCTTCTTGGTCTTCTGGATCAGTGGCTTCTTTCCTTGCATAGGGGAGAGTTTCAGGGCCCGGCTGTGCATGCTCATTGCCCCCTTGCCCCCATTTGTGCTCTTCATGGCCACATGTTCTCTCCGTCTCACTGTCTGAGTTCCCTTCTGAAGAGCTTTCCTCACAACTTGAATCCTCACTGGACGTTGTTTCATAGCTGAGTGAGGACATCAGGCATTATCGCTTTTGTTCTGCTGCACAACTAAAGAACTATAAGCAAAACTGGTGATCCTAAAACACACTTAGCTTTGAAATCTCACACTATACAAGCCCTGAAATTTTACATTTTAAAATTGCCCAGTTGAAAAATAATCTCTGATGCATGTAACTTATTGTGAGTCTGGAAGGCACTGGCCTCTTGTAGATGTCTCAATAGCATGTTGTATGTACAGGATGCTCACTTTTTGAGAAGAGTTTGGTTGGAGCTTGTTTAAAGTGGCCCCTTCCAATACTATGTCCCTTAAGGAACAATTCTGTGGACTTCATCCTCATCATGAATGGTCTGAGGCTTGATATTTCTCTGCCCTGCTGCCATAAAGCCTCCAGACAGGAGCAGTGGCAGAGGCGATCTTAGTCTCCTTGTCTCTCACATGTTCTATTTTTTGCTAGACAGGCTTTTCAGCCCCTCCAGAAAAGATGCTTCGGCAACACTGTTGTGGGCCATCAGAATAGCTCCCAGCAAGAACCAGAAGAACATGGCAGACAGCATTGCTTTAAGTACATGCAAGTTATGCTAGAGGCTATTGCATGGCTGTTTTGACCTGGTGTGTTCACACTGTTGGGACTGAGAACTGGGCTGTTGCTGTTGCCGTGCATTCCCAAGGCCTGCTGATGTGGACTCGGGGTGGGGGGAGGCCTCGGAATGTGAGCCAATTCCAGATGTTGGATGGAAGAAGCAGAGGTACTTATCTTATGCCAGACTCTCCAGGGGCTCAGGAGCCTTTGAGAATAACCAAGATGTACAGTTATTGGAACAGGGGGGTTTCTCAGAGACAGACGAGCTAGGTACAGCTCTCAACTCCATGATATAACAGTAACAGAGGAGGGCAGCCCAATTAGAGGACTGGCACGCAGATGGGATGCATGCGCATTTCCAAAAGGTCCTTCCCAAAAGGAATGAGCCCCAAACACGCTAGTAAGGAGAGTTCCTAGAAATACTAGATTGGGTTCATCAAACTACTCTGTGCATGCCCAGAGATTCATTCTGAGTGATTGTGCTTCTGGAAATGCTTTGGTCAACAAAAACTTTTCACAAGAAAGGTCTGTGGCTTTAAATGTGTGAAGGGGGAAACCTAGCTCTTGACACTGACTCCAGAGGCTGCCATGGATCTGATGTTAGTACAGCAGAACTGGAGATTCTGCTCTAAATAATTAGTATCAGTAGATCAGTGGAAGGCAGAACACAAAAGGGAACACCAAATAGGAGATGAATTGAATCCATAAAAGTATGGGTCTTCAAACTAGGGTCCATGGGCCAGATCCGGCCTGCCATGCCCATTCATCCAGCCCACCTCAGAGGTTTTGGACTCCCCTCGCCTGCACCTGCTGCCACCTTGCAGCAGGTGTCCACCCGCCTGCTACCACCACCCCCTCATCAGCCCGTACCCGCCACCACCTTTCAACTGGCCCCCTGCTGAAAAAGTTTGAGGACCCCTGCATAAAGGCAGCAACAAACTTGACCTTGGAAGAGCTGAATGGAGCTGTCATAGACCAGACATTCTGGAGGGCTTTCATTCACAGGGCTTCATAGGGTGACGATTGCTTGACAGCACATAGCAACAATAATTAATGCTATTGCACTGAATGTTTAATATAAATAATTGTACTGTTTTCTTATTGAACTTAAAGACACTTGCTCCAATTTAAGTTACTACCAGGAACTTAAAAATGGTAGTAATATTAATGCATTTGTAAAGTGATAGAAGTTATCAAGGGAGATTGAAGCCCAAAGCTTGCACAATAGATTTGTTTTGAAGGATTATGCTCTTCAAGTCCTATTTGAAGTAGGCAGTCCGTTTTGTGATAGACTTCTTGTAGCCTTTTCTTGGACTTGTTTTTGAACAGCACCAGTATAGCAGAAAATACTACAGAGATTAATTGAGTGGTAATTCTAACTTTGTATATTAACTTTATTAGCAGGGTAGTCTTGACAATGCTTTTTAAAATTGTAACAATGGGTTTCAAATTTAGCTGAGCAAGGTGTGAATGATTCATTGATCATGTGCCACCTCCGAGTTAGTTGCAAGTAAGGTGGGATTTCTACTGTGGGATTTCTAACATAAAAACATCCCATTATTGCTTCTGCCCTCCTTCTCCATTCTTTGGCTTACATTTCTATTCAGATATCTTTATTTAGAAATGGAGATACATTAAGAAACAGCACTGCTGGAAGAGAGAGAGATGATGTTTTCTGCATGGCACAGATGGTCAGATTCTAGAGTACAGAAGCAGCCATGGTATTAAGGAAAAGACAGTTGTTAGCAGAGGTTATTGTATGCATTCAAAGATGTAAGTCAAAGATTTCCCCTAACATCAGCAATCCAGATCTGACTACCAGACAGATCTGGCCTAGGTATTTAAAATTTGAATTTGAGTGGCTTACTAGACCACGTACTTGTGTAGAGTCATATGTAATAACTTGAAAATATTTCTATAAACTATCAGAGATTTTTGTAAGAATAGAAGACATACAGGGTTTGGGGCACAATCCTATCCAAGTTTGGACAGGAAAAAGTCCTGCATTTCCTACCATTCCCATTGCTAGCTGGATAATGCTGACTGCTGTAGAACTTTGTGTCTAAACATGCACAGGAGTGTGCCTTGAGCTGTGATTACCAGATCATACCTGAACCCACTTGATGGTGATGGGAGCCTAATAAATGATTTGATAATAGCATAAGGCCAGAATGAATTAGTTGTATAAGGAGCCTCTGACCTACACCCCTGTATTCATGTACTCCACCCTTTCATGACATTCTGTTTCCCACTCCCTCAGAGATCTTAGCCTCATTTCTCCAAGTAACAAGAGTATGAATACGCATTGTCTAGTGTTAAATGATGGTTTAAACACTAGTTCCTCTCCTTCTTTGGCACAACCATGAAGTGGGGCAGATTGGAATGATCCACTTCCATTTTCATTCTCTACATACACAAAATGTGGTGGTTCTTAGCTATGATTGACTAAAGAACAAAAAAGATAACTGGTTTTAATGCAGTTTGTTTCAATAAACTATGCTTAATATCAACAGTAGTTTTTCTGGGCTTGGACAAGATTGGCTGAAAACAGAAGCAAATTTTCTTCTTGAGTTTATGGGAAGAAGGATGAGTTGGATTGCTCAACCTTGAGGCTCACAGTGCTGCTCTCTAGTTTAATGTTTCATGCAGACAGAGCCATGGTCTGGGTGCAGTAGACAGAACTCGCAGAGCTCTCCTGTCTTGCCTCATATAAACTCAGGAGGTGGCTGCAGTCCCATGGTGATTTGTAATCTTTGATCCTGCTGCTCCACCTGCAATGCTAGAGATATCTAGCTCCCTACAAGGCTTCTGTCATCTTGTCATGAGATTAAAAGTGACCACAATGCGACAAATGCTTAGTCCATTTGGCTTTGGAGTCAGAGCAACAGAGGACAGTAACAGATTGGGTTTATAGCGGAGACAGATAAAGTTGACTAATGTTATTTAAAACTACCTTGCCTTTGCTCTGGAAGTGAAGAACCACTGGGCCTCCTAGAAGCCAAAGAGCCTAAAAAGCACAAAGATCCCATCACCCTGAAAACAACCATGGCGGTAGACGTTCTTTAATACTGTGTGCTACTCTGTCACAGAAAATTCTACTATTTTAATTAAAGATTCAGGAAGCTCTGCCTTAAAAAAAGCTCTGTTTGTGAGCATAAGAAAACATTTGTCTTCAAATATTTTGGTTCTCTTCACCGAAATCTAAATGACAGTGTATCTAGTACTTGAACAGAAATCCAAATCCTAAATATGAAATCCAGATGCAGTGACAGCATTTCACTTGGTAACTCATGCTTTTCCAGTGAGGGTCTACTGCACATTCAGAACAATGGTTCTTTTCTTTTGTGAAGTCTGTGCTAATTTTGTGTCCTCTATGCAAAGAATTTCAATCTTCATTGATATTCATGCAGCACTATTCAATATTTCTATTATTTACAAGTGCCCCTTTGCTACCCCTACCAGGCTTTTATAATAATCTCATGAACTTTAGAATGGAGGAGGAATAAATGATGACCTTTTCTAACTCCCATGCATGTAATGATAGCATTATCAATGAAAAGGCAGTTTTAACTCCTTAACTGATGCTTACCCACCATTTACCCCAACAAATTGAAGGTTCTTTTTGGTGCTGTTACCTCCAGCATGTAAACCACTGTCTTTCTTTTTCATAATAGATTTAAGGCTTGTGCTTGGAGAGTTTTCTAATAGAAATATAAAAACAAGGAATATCAACAGTGTTAACAATACTTTGTCTTACTTAGCTTTATTATATATTCTTACAATGATCAACATAGTTCTTTGGCATTTAAACTGTGGTCCTACTTTCCCTCTTGGAAGAGAAGTGATGCTGGAAGAAAATATTTCCAGGTAGGCAGGAGAGTTTCAGACACCTGCCATAAGTACAGGCAGTGTCAAGGTGTAGGCATGGTTGGGCCCTCGACAAGGCCCCGACCCCAGCAAAGACCTGCTACAAGCGCTCCCTGGAGTTGCTGCTCCTCTTCTTCATTGTTTGTCTGCCTATCATTCAAGACCAGCGATGGAGATGGTAAGGAGGTTGTTCTATCTAGATGCTACTGCCTCTTTGCTCACTGCCTCCCTGCCTGCCAAACACAAGTGGAAGCGATGACAAAGAAGAGGATGAGCAATACCAGCAGGTGACAGCGAAAGTACGCGGGGGGGGGGGGGGGCACTGATATATTTTATATTGCTAAAACTCTCTAAAACACAGTGCCAGCACTGTGTAAATACCACCTCATACATTATTTTCATCTGGAAATGGAAGATAATGAAAAGCATTTTCATGTTGGTCCGTATTGTGAGAGGCAACACGTGTACAATAGCTATGTGTTGTTCACATCATATCAGAATGCTTTTCCCTGTTACCATTCTGGTAACATGAGAACAGGCATTAAGATTCCTTATATAACAGACAAGAAATATTTTGGCATTGGTCAAGGCTGGCCTTAGCATTAGACAGAATAAGGCAGCATCCTGGGAAATGAACAGTGGTGACTGCAAGAATCAGAACAACAAGTGAGCTGGGTGAACTGGTGAGTGAGCAGCAGTGAGCAAGGTGATGGGAACAGATCTCTGTGTGCCACTGGTCTTACGCTGTGTCCCTTAGCTAGCCTGTTGCCTTCAGGTGTCGAGAAGGATGCTAGTCATGAAGGAATAAGTGTCAGAAGAGTCAGCTTCTATATGTGGGCCACCTTGTCCTTTACTTCTGGCTGAAAAATGTCTTGGGCTGTCGCTGTTTCAGATGGAACTATCAACCATGATTAACAATGCGAAATCTGACTATGATAATATCCTGTAGCATTCCAGATACAACATAATGGCATTGCAACTCCCTTCCCTATCCCAGAATTTGTGTATACTAGTAAAATGCTACTAAAACAAATAAATAGTAACATTAGCTTTTGCTAAAATAAACACATGAGTACTTGTAAGAGTAATTTCGGGTTTACTTTGCATGTAAATTTCTACTTTGATGCTCTGTATGAATTACAAGAACAGAGCTATCCTTGCCTAGTCAAGGGAAAGTGAAGTTACAAGGGGGTGGAGTCATACAGTGAGTAGAGGTCTGAGTCTGGATTTGGGAAAATTCAAATTCAGATGCTCACCCCAGTAGTAATTTTTTTTGGAAGTTACTATCTCAGCCAAAGCTATTTTGTAGAAATCAAGAGCTAAAGCAATGTTTGATATTTCTTGGTGAAAGGATGGGATGTAAAGAACAATAAAGCAATATCAGAAGTAGTTCAAAAGAAAGAACTACTACTCCAGAGAGTGGAAGCCATTCCAACGTGGATGACAGGAACAAATCAGGTAGGAGAGGAAGTAATTGCAACAGTACAAGAGGAGATTTTACCTGCACTTATGTGACTCCAGCATGTACTTCTTGCTGACTGCTTGCATGTGTATAATAACTGAAAACCCTCTACTCATCTAAATCATTTTATAGTATTAACAGTTGGCCTACTAGCCAAGGGAATATTGAATTTTACCAGTCAATACTGACTATAAAACTGACAGGAAATAAGACTGCTTTTGTTTTAAAATTGTCCTGCAATTTTTTTAATTCCAAAACTTTAACTGTTTGATTCAAATTCCTGATTTGTGACCAAATGTTTGCTTTTGTGGATTTATTTCAGTAATTTTGAGTGCTGATAAAAGGACAAAGGGCAAGACCTGGATCCTTTCTGTCTTGTGTTGCTTCTTATCAAACTGAAAAAAAGCTATTTGCACAGCTTAACCTTTAAAGGGCCTTACAAGGAAACATCATACAAGTTACTCTCGGGAAACTGGATAACATACATACTTATTTACCAGCATGAAGGCCCTTCTGAAGCTATCCTCATCTTATTGAATATTTCTGCTGTGTGTCAAGATGTGGAACAGACTTGGTAAAATTATTTTCAATATCTTTGTTGCAGCTAATAGTTCTGCTATTCAAGGACTGAATATAGGATCTGTCTTGACTGAGTGGAGGAACCTTCTGTGAAAGAAAGGACACCACTTGTGAAATATTATTCTTAATGTGTCAATAATGTTCTAATCAAGAATAGAAGCTGACCTCATTTAAGAATTAAGCTGGAGAACTGGAAAGCCTATAAAGTTCAGAAAAAGAAAAAAAGAACATGGCAAAGGGAAGGTGAATATTGTAGGATGGAAGAATACAAGAGTAACTGCTCTGCTTTCTCAGGAAGTTTAAATGGGCAGTCAGTGGTATTTGTGACCTCCTGCTGCTGCCACTTCTCATGCAAGTCCTGTAGTATGTAAAACATCAACTATCTGCAACTTAACTCAACATGAGGCATAAGTGCCAGTGTTTGCCCAGATGGCCTGGCCATGTACTCTTTACATCAGCCTTCCACACTGACTGGATGGATATTGCCACCACTGACATTCTGCTATATTGGATAGTTCATTGGAACTAACAAGTGCCCATTTTGTGCAATATGGAATTTGTATTTCTGGTGTTGGAGAACTGGTATTAGTAAGAACTCTGGCTGGTTCACCTTCCAGAGTCATCCTTCAATAGACCAAGATTGAAGATTGGCCTTAATATCTTGGATAACTCAAAATCTCATAGCCTCAGTGAGAAGTACAAAGATGGTAACTGTGATCTAGCATGATAAAAGATAGGATAAAAGATAGGATCTGCGGTAGGTTCAATGGTTCCAAACTGCAGGAAAACAAGTGCTGCATATTTTGAAGATGATACAATTGGAAGTTGGTTTCCTTAATCTGAGAGATCACTATCTCTAGATTATTACCTCTTTCTATGAGTTCTGCGTTGATCCTAGAACCTGACTAGATTCCACAGCATTCAATTCAATGTATCCACTGAACTCAGTAGTGACTTTTATGATAGCAGATTGTACTGTTTGATCTCAGGCATCGAAACAGCAGCATCCAAGTGTTTTCTACATCTACTATGGGAATTAAAGTCTTCATGGACATGAAGAAGGACTGTGATTACCGAAACAGGAGTTAGGTAAGAGAAATTGCACTTACCTTGTGCTAGAGCTGACCAATTATATCTATAGCATGGTAGTGGCAACGTTTTCCAGTCATAATTCTACAAAGAGATTCTTCCCTGGTTCTCATTCCAGCCCAGTCTCAATAAGGCCAGTGAGTTGCAGAAAGATGAACGAGAACTATGTTGACACAGCACTTGCTGTACCTGGAATAGGCTGGAAATAGGGGTTCATGTCCAGATCCCTACATACCTCCCTATTAGCAATAGGGAACTAGACTGTAGGATTGCTTTTTACCAACTTATCCTGAAATTATCCCTTTTAGTCAGATCTATGTTGCCCATACCAATTTATATCCAATATCCTAGAAAGCTATGATAAATGAATCATAGTAATATGATGCTATGCATTTAAATAATATAAGTCCTACCTCTTTTACTAGACATAACAAAGTATTTGCTTTGTAATTGCAAATGTTTGCTTAAATGCTATTTTTTGATTTACTGCAATTTTTGTTTTGCTGAAAAATACTTTTCAATGATATTCAAAAATACTTCCACAAACACTTTTTCAGCTTCCTCCATCATCATCATCATCACCATCAGCAGCAGCAGCAGCATCATTTTGAAGCAGCAAACATGGTTATTTCATTCAAAAAAAACCTTAAGGGGATACAATTCCTGACTAACATGGAATGGGAAAGGAAGACTGGCTTTGCCAATACTATTTACCCAACTGTTGATACTGTGTGTTAGAATTCTCCTTGTCTGTTGGTGTTTGGGTTGAGTAGGCAGAAAGTAGCAAGTTCAAGGAATTAACAAGTTGATTCTGGATGGAGCTGAGCTTTGAAGCAGGTTGCTTAATTGCACTGGCAAGTTCTGGGTACCCGTGTTCTAGGCACATCCACTGTTCTTGTAAAAGGTCCTGGATTTTTTTAATGTATTGTCCCACAGTAGGATCTGCAGGTGAATCCTTTGGGTCTGGGTGGCTTTTCTCTTCATTCAGATCTTGCATAACATTTTCTTGAAAAGTAGCTCCTGCCTTTGAGTCAGCAATCTCAACACCCAGGCAGCTTTCACTGCCAGCAACAGAGCACTGCAGCCCATGGTTGTGTGCTTCCTTCAGACTATTTCCATTATCTGTGTGTTCATCTACCTTCAGCTGACTGTAGCTTAGTTCAAGAGTGGAGCTATCATTATCCTGACCCATTTTTCGTCTCTGAGAAGATGGGCTGTCTTTCTCCTGAACACTAACAGGAATGCTTGTTCTCTCATGGTGCCCATAGGTCACATTTCTGTGTATTTCCTTGACCTGCAGATTTCTATTATCAACTTCATAAGCATCACACCCTGTAGATTTCACAGGCAAAGTGATACTTACATTAATTCCTTTGTCATAGGCCCCCTCAGCTCCCTTTTTAGATTCATGTTCAGTATTCACAGCAGCATCATGGTACTGGAGGATATTTTTTGTATGCATGTGTGGTTTAATTTCTTTCATGCTTTTCCCACAGAGCTTCTCTTCCAGTTGAGCCTTGGAACTTGCTAGCATTTCAATGCTTCTCTCCTTTGCTTTGATTTCCATATCCTGCTGCTTCAAAACTACTCGGATCTGCTCAAGTTCTTCTGTTTTGTTATTCAGCTGCTCCTCCAGAATGGCAATGTGCTGCTTTAAAGCTGTTATCTTGCTAGGGTCTTCAAAGGGCAAAAGTCCAAGGTTTGAATTTCCTTCCATCTCTCTCCTGCCAGGACTTGCACATTCATCCTCTTCTAGTACCTCATTAACAGTTTCACAAATGCTAAGTTCTATTTCTTGCTTACTCTGTTTTTCAAACTTATTCTCCAAGTCCCTGGAAGAGGGCAATCCACTCTGGAAAGATGGTGGACAGGTGTTTGTCTCTGCTGCATCACATTCCTTTTCTCCACTTTCTGAAACTACAATTAATTCCTGAGATATTAAGTGTTGGCTCTGCCATGGAGCACTGAGCTGCACTCTCTCCTTAGGAAGCTCTTGCTGCTCTAGCACAAGCTGAGCTTCTTCCTGTTGTCCCACAGACATCTCACGATCCTGGGCCATCTTTTTGATTTGCTGTTTTACCCTTCTTAAATTTTCAGGGGCTGTGCATGAAGATCCTTTGGTGCTATCTAATTTCAAGGATTCTTTTACAGGGCTAAAATTAAATTCCAAGCCCTTTCCATCAGGAGACTTTAGGCTTGCTGGCTGACTTTCTTCTTTTGAGTTCTGGCTTGGTGGAAGTGTGGCAGGCATGCTGGATGCCCTCAAAAGTTGAGGTCTCCCTCTACAGGTGCCAGTCTCCCCATTAAGATGTGCAGGATCTTGTTTGAGAGTTTCTTTTAAGAGAGCCTTTCTTCTGTAGCTTGGCTCATTTGGAAGAGCTGAGTCAATGGGTGTGACCAGAGGGCTGCTTTCCTCTGCCCCTAAAGAGGCTTTCCTTTGTGCAGAAGAGTTCTTATTTGTGGAACATGAGTAGGCTTTGGATCCATTTTCTGGAAGGCTGAAATTCCGAGGCAGTGTGCTGAATTTTGGAGGCTTTGACTTCCTGTGAATTGGAATCCTCTTGATGGTATTTCCTTTTTCAATGTCATCTACATACTTCAGGAAATCAAGATCTAAGTGGAAGCCATAGGGTGTTTCAACAGAATAAGGGCTTTGGGGTGGATTGTCATCCTCTTGTTTTGATGCCCAGTTATCTGCTGACATAAAGAAATATTAAACTTAAGACAGAGAAAATTATAATCTAGAAGTATATAAATCTACAATAATTAAAACTTGAGAAGTCTGTTATCACTAATGCATATCAGCCTTGCCTAACAGGGAGCTCTCCAGATTTTTCACACTACCGCAACAGTTTGCTAGATGATCATGGGACTCATAATGAACATATCTGGAAGGTACCTGGTTGATTTATACTTCCCAGATATATTGCTTCCCTTAAGATCTCATAGTGGGAAATGGTAACTTACATAGAAACTGCTGAAGTCTGACCTAAAACCTAGAGATTCTGTAATCTTAACAAAACCTTCCTCCTTTCTGAGGCTTTTTTTTCTGGCTGGTCATTACACAGAATGGAAAGATGTTTCTGTTCTGTTTGTTCATCCATCACTTCCCTATCTGAGGTCCCAGTGCAGAAATGAGCCTCAAGCATCCATTGCTGTGGAATGGCATGTGCACTGCAGTGTATTTTCATACACTTACTAAGGGCAGGCCAGGAAGCAAAGGACATAGCTTCTTTTAGCGCAAGACTGGGAAAGCTTTTTTAGCCCGAGGACCAGATTACCACCTGGACAACCTCCTGAAGGCCACATGCCAGCAAATGGCCATGGAAGAAGTTCATGTAGGAATGTTCTGTCCATGCCCATGTCCCATACATGGATCTCTCAAATACTGTTCATGCAGGCGTGCATACTCCAGTTATGGACACAAAGAACGACAGACCCATTCATACCCATGCTTCTCAGCCCTGTTCAGCTAATCTATGCAGATCAGCCAAGAGGGAGCATTTCCTTGCCCAGTGCTGGGAGAGGCTCTCTTTCTCACCAATGAGCAGGAAAGATCTTGCTGATCACAGATAGGGCACCCCTATGGGTTGAATCCGGTTCACAGGATGGTTGATCTCCATCCCTGTTTCAGCTCTATGCAGAACCCTTTCTGCATACATAAGCTCATCTGCCGCAGGATGGAGTGTGCTGTTTGATTGGCTACACTGCTGTAGTACCGTGGGGGAACTGCTATGAAGCTAAAATGTTTGTTCTTGGCCCTTGGAGCTCAGGAAGAGTAGAAATGAAAGCATTAAATGCCAGACAAGGAGGGCTCACTCTGCTATGCAGAGGTGCCTCCACTGGCTCTGCACAGGTCTTTAACTGAGGCTGCAACAATACAGAGCCTCAACAGCCTTGTTGAAAATCAGCCTACATCAGCATGCGTGCATTTTCATTGAAACGCCCCAAGCACAAGGGCAAGTCAGCTTCACTAAATCACTGTACAGTTAGCCTCCGTCTGCAAAGCAAAAGGGGGAAAGCAGAGCTGGCAATTTGTCATCAGAGACATCTCTGTAGAGTTTGCTTAGAGATATAGTCCCAAAGAGGCATGTGAAAATATATAATCTTGTTTTCTGGGACTGAATTATGCAATGGCAGAGCTGAAAGTAGTCAGGAATTTGCCATTCTAATTGATCATTCTAATTGATAATTATGTAAATGACAGCTTTTCCACTCTGCACTAATCATTTGCTTTAAAAGCTGCATGAGCCTTCTATATAATAAATCTTTACCAATGCAGTCAGTGTCCCTAATATATTACTCCACATTGGCTTTCTAGCCACATCATGTTCTTAAAAGCATGCAGGCAAGGTTGATCCAGAAAAAAAAGGAACATGAATAAATTGCTTTCCAGGTGTCAGCTTTGCTCTTTTTTAAAAAAGATAAATGGTGTCTGCAGTCACCCAAGCTGGCATGTTCCCAGTCCCATCATTTGATGTTTTGTACAAAAGCAAAGAGGAGTATCTTGGACATAATGGGTGCCATCTGTTGAATGGGCTCCGAAGTGCAATCTTTGAGCAGGCCTACTGGCCCATTTACCTTGAATGGTCTGTCTACCTAAACTCTAAATACAAGACATGAAGATTGTCTCAAGTATACGAATGCACGAAGTAGTAATATATGGAGTCAAGGCCAAATCAGATGTAACTCTATATATTGATCTATCTACCTACCTACCTAATTTCTATACCTCCCAAAAGCCGAAACTCTCTGGGTGGTTTACAACAGATTACAAACAAATTATTCATGTTTGTCCTCATTTCAGTATTTTTAACAAATAAAAACAAATCACTAGCCTGATCAGAACAATGGTATGGGTTAGGTGTTAATCCTTAGCTTCATCGTGGTCCCATTCAGAACTGAGATGGCACACATCTATCACTCACAAAAGATACAACCTGTTTGGTTGTATCCAAAGATTTAAATCCCATTCATTTCATTGTGTCTACTCCAGGCAGGACTAAATAAAACCCAAAACGATCAACAAGGCAAATACCATCATGTATCATTTGGCCACTTCACACTATTCTGAACCCTCACTGGTGAGTTAAATGCTAAATAACCCTGCAGTTAACCAGTGGTTTGCTGTTGGGTAAAGCACTGGATTGTTTAAAGCACTAAAATAATCCAGCAGTTCAAGTTTGCACATCACGCTTGCAACCTTCAGTTGGGCCAACTGCAGTTTGTCTACAAAAGTAGACTTACTTGCATACTTGCTAGTGCACATCCTAGCAAGTCTAACCTGTAATTTGCCACTATGCAAACTGGTCCATCTCCAGCCATGCTAATTGCAATCTTCTTAGCTAAAAATTTAAGTCTGGTGACAAACATCCCCTTCCTGGCAAGATTCTTAAGTGGGTAGTGGGCAAGCAGCTCCAAGCAGTCTTGGATAAGACTGATTATTTAGATCCACTTCAGCAAAGAAGCAGCTTTGGTCACCCTGGATGAAGACCTATGCTGGGAGAGAGATGGAGGGTGACCTTGTTGGGACTCAAAAGATCTTTTGATGGCTTTCAGGGCCATTGACCATGGTATCTTCCTGGGGTGACTGTCTGAGTTGGGAGTGGGGCACTATATTGCAGTGGTTCTGATCATATCTGTATGGTTGCTCCAGAAGGTAACATTTCAAGGATATTGCTCTACCCCTTGGACTCTTCTGTATGGGATTCCTCAAAGGTTGATCTTGTCCCCCATGCTATTTAATATCTACATGAAACCACTGAGTGTGTTTGTCAAGAGTACTGGATTACACCATCATGAGTATGCTGATGATACACAGCTCTATTTCTCCTTCTCATCTTCAGCACCTGAGGCTACAGATGTGCTAAACTGGTGTCTGGTTGTAACAGTAGACTTGATGAACCTACACATTATCAGATTAATAACAGATACCAGGTGATCAGAGTGTGTAACATCAATTCTGGACGTTTTGTATTTGCTGCCTATATGCCTCCAAGCAAAATTCAAGGTGTTGGTTTTAAACTATAAAGCTCTCCCCACTCGGGACCATAATACTTGATGGAATGCCTCTTCCAGCCACATTCTACCCAGAGAATGCAATATGATCTGGGGCATGCTTCTAATTGCCACCTCCAAGGAAGGCTCAGTTGGTGGCAACAAGTTAGGGAACAAGCTCCCCACGGAGGCCTACAGGGCATCCACTTAAGTAGCCTTTTGGCACCAGGTTAACACTGTCTTCTACCACAGGGCAATTAACTAATTTACTCGAGCTTTGTTAGCTGCTTAAATAGGTCTTGCAATTTAATTTGTATAAATATTGTAACTTTTAATATTTTTTAAATTTGGTTTTAAATTTTGTATGACAATGTTTTATGATGTTTTAATATTGTTTGCATTTTATATTATGTGTTTGTTTATTGAATTTGTTTGGAAGCCACACATTTGCATCACACTGTCTAGATGATCATTAAAATAAAATATTTCAATGAATAAATAAATATATAACATATAATAAAAATATATATTACATTTTTATGTGTTGCTGTAAATCACTCAGAGAGCTTTGGCTATTGCCCAGTATAAAAACTAAAAATGCCTACAAACCATGTTTTCTACTACCACAGAGCTGTGCCCTCTCTCCAAGTATTGCTGGGAAAGGCTGAAAACTGTTAAGAGAAGTCTACCAATGCCATAACACTCAAAGTACTATCATAATCCTAATTTCTACATATTTTATAGAAACCACAATTAGGTTGCATTGGCAGCCACTAGATTCAGAAAAATACCCTTTCTGCAGAAACTATCAGTTTCTGACTTTGCACATGCAGATAATGAATACAGATGAGGTACAATATTTGACATGTGGTCCATGAAGATTTTTAACACCAACTGCATGAGTTCTTCATGCTGTAGTAAAACACTATTTTGTTCCACTATCCTTGATCAAGATTAAGCACTGTATCCATACCATCTGTATTCTCCATAATGCACAGTTCTGTATGATCTGCTAATGTCAAGCCATCAGTGAAACATCACCTGAAGAGATGTAGTCCACCTTGAAAAGAATTAAAGAAAACTTACTATTAAGCAATGTAACAGACAAGTACAACACTTCATTATCATTCTCCTTTATGCATAATTTACTCACTTCACTAGAAGAATCTGTTTGTACAGCCAGTGATATTAGATATTTCTGCCTTCATGGAATGAAATTCTTCTTCTAGTTCTTGTCTAGTAAGCACTTCCAGGCAAGTTTTAAATCAATGTTTTCCCTTCTAACTGAAACAGTTTCTGCTCTGGGGACACAAATCTCCTTGAGATCATTTTTTGCTGCAAAGGAACAATTTGCAGAACTAGAGAATGAAATGGGAGAGGGTGAGTGAGGAAGAAATCATCAGGAGCTGTGTGTTAAACAGAAGCAGAGGTAAAAAGTTAGTCTTTCATTTTATTATGTATTAAAACATTGGTTACTCTGAGATATGGCTGTAATTCATGTCCCATGTAGCTGAGCATTCCTTGTTTATAAAAGTATAAGTGGAGGTGGTGGCACCGATCATGGACATGACCATGTATTTGCAGGGCCTTTATTTAGGTAGAGCAAATGTACCACTTTAAGTAGCAGCTCAAAGACACCTCTAAAAGGCAACAAACTGTCTACAATTTCATCTGCTTCATTCTCATTTATAGATGAGATAGCATATTTGTTAGCTGATCTGACAGCCATCCAGGATGAGAAAGGGAAGAAATCCTTAAAATATTTCTTTCTTTCTTTTTTTACTTAAGTTAATGGGTAGATAAATAGAAGGCAGTAATGCTGTTAAAGAGGGAAAACCTAATACCTCTGTTTGAAATAAGTACAGTTTATTATCCAGCACAGAAACCCATATACGTTCAAGGTGCACAGCGACAACTGGAGCATACGGGTGGTCCCTTCCTGTGAGCATGTGGTTATGCTGCCTTCACTGGAATGCATGAGGAAAATCTGGAAAGTACTGGAGTTTCTGAAGTCAGAGGTCTAGGGCATCACAGTCCTGGTGCTCCCCAGACATCTAAGGATGACATCTGGGCAGTGGAACTGTAAAGCCTGGAATGGATGCGGGGAGGGTGGCCGAGGAAAACTTTGGTTGTCAATGAGGGAAACAATGGAAGCCGTGACTCACAGCTGTGTAACGGACACCCACCCAGAAGTCCATTAAGACCAGGGTATAAAATGACTTGAGTGTATCACCAGTGCTGCAGTGGCAAATTTAGAAGTGTGTGTGTGTGTGTGGGGGGGTCCCATCATGATAGTCAGAGCCACACCTGAAAGCCACACCTATTTCCAAGAGTATGTAATCTAATTAAAATTAGCTTTGCTACATTGAATTTCTGTAGAGTAATGAATGCAAGCTGAGGGTATCTCTTTTTGAGGTGAAACAATGACAGCTTCTAGAACTTATTTCTTATTATCTTATTATGAATGAAGGATTTTTAAAATTACATACATATCCTGCTCTCCAGCCAAAAAGCTCCCAGAGCAGCTTATGTAGAATTAATAAGACAGTTCCTGCCTATAGGCTCACTAACTAAAAACATGACATACAAGGGGAAAGGGACAGGAAGGGAAGTGGGGGGGCGGGGGAAGGAAACTCAGGCAGTAATTACCCACACATACAGAAACATAGGTAGTTATATTCTCCCAAGAGCAGAAGTCTGGATTGACAATCACCGTCAATTTTTTTGGTTTTTTAAAAAAATCTGTGGCCTCTGCAAGCACTGACTTGCAGAGATATATGTGGGAGATCCTCCATGAATCCAGAGTTTAGGAGTTCCAGTTTCTCAAAATATCCAATAATCTTTTATTGTACTTTCATTGGAACCACACTGAATTATGTGTACACTAGCCTAACATAAGAAACTTAAGGCTATCAGAAGTCATGGCTAATTGTTCCCACTGGTTCCATTGAATATACTTGAGTTACAATACTTTTATTCCACATTAGCCATTATCTCTCCAGTCCCAAATAATTCAGGGGCTAAGAGATGCAGAGAACACCTATTCACCTCACTGAGCTACAATTCCTGAAATGCTTTATCAGGCAATCCCTCTTCCCCTGGAAAATGTACCTCTCTGTGTGAGGAATAGATGTCCACTAATGGCACTCAGTACCCTTGACAAACTACACTTCCCAAGATTCTTTGGGGAGGCAATGAGTGCAGTTCTGTAGCTACAGCTCTTCTTACACTTCGCAACTTCTTTTGGCTTTTTAAAGTAGTAATTAATAATGGTTTGCTTGCAGTTTGAAGCACTTTTTGCGGTCTGCATAAGACCGTTCAATACCAAGTAAGCATATCTGAAGAAATGAATACAAAAGAGCACTCACTCTTTTCTACCCTCCGGAACAAAACAGAAACAGTCTGCTAAGTAAAAAGGAGAAATTAAACTTAGCTGCTACAACTGAAACTGAACTATTCCCCTGCAAAAAAAAAAAAAAAAAAAAAACCAAATTTGAACTTTCTCTGACCTTGAAGCTGCTCACTGCCTATTCAGTCCTTCATAACCAAAGTGTAGGCATAAACAGCTGGGATGGGGGATGGGTCAGGGGGATTCAGAGGTAGTTTTTGGATACAAATACAAAGGCAAGTTGACCCGGTGGTGCTGAGCAGCAGAGGTTGACCATGACTATAAGTGTCACAGTAAACACATATGCCTGCCTAGCAGGCCTCTCCAGATAAGTAGTTCCCTGGAACTGTTGGGAACTGTAAAAACAAACAAAACTGTTTTTAACCAATTAAATTCAGGACAGCTGCCAGTTGCGAACCAGCAAAATTAAGTCTCTTGAGAGGGGGAAGAAGAACAACACTGGCTTCAGGGATCCAGCTACCCCACTGAGACCTCCCTCTAAAATAAGTGGGAGCACTTAACCCACCAAGGGGCCCCTCCTCCCATATGAAACTGCTTATAATGATGCTTCTACGTTGTCAGCCCAGTCAGTTCCTGCTTTGGGGATACAGGCTATCCTTTTGAACAACCTTGACCACTGTTCAAATTCTTGATGGCACCAAGAAAGTATAAGCAAACAAATCCAAACTGCAATTTGCATTGTTCTATACTTGATAGCATTCTTTCTCCCATCTCTTAGCAGCACAATACAGAAACCCATGAAATGATTCCAAAAAACTGAGCCATGGGGTAGCAAGAATGTGAGTATTGACAGAGTTCAGTCAAGCCTTGTCTCAGGGAGTTAATCTCCCTGTGATAAACTGCAGCATATGATGCAAAGCAGCATTCCAATACCTGTTTTCTACGCTGTAATCGTAAAAGGGAGATGTTACCAGTTTTTAGCTAAGTACAGTTGGCCCTTACAGATAAGCAAAAGATGCTGAAAATTTTGGAATGCATATGCTACAAAGAATTCAAATAGGGGAAGTGTGAATCCATCATGCCATTATTTATTTTGGCTTTTCTGGTGTGGTGACTTTTCACTAGGGCAAATTACCTGTTAACAGAACTCAGCCCTAGATCTTCTGGTGGCCTCAGCCAGGGAATTTCTTTTCAAGGTTACAGCCCAAAACTGGAACATGTGGAGTGATAAGATGAGTCAATCCCTCTGAGTATGGATGTTGTTTACCACTGATTAACTAGCAATAGCCCACACACAGTTGGGACTGGAAGGCAAGTTTCTAGGTCATAGGTTTCCACTAATATTTCAAATACTTCATTCTATACAGTTAACTGCTATCTGCCTAGGTTAAACTTGAAACTGCTCTAGGAACAAAGCACGCATAGGTAAGCACTGACATGTAGAAGGATACCATATATGCGGCTTTCTTTGTTTTTACCATAATATGTGAACAAGTTCCCATACAAGTCAGTGATTACTCAAAGATTTATCTTTTTAAATTAAAATCTTTAATTTTAATGGGCAAATTTATAACAATGTGAAAATGCTTTTTATAAAATAAGAATATATTCAGAAATGAAAAGATATGGGATATGTAAATCTGTTAAATGTGAAATTCAAACAGCCCAGAAATTAATTTTCTTCCATTTGTCCTTGCAACAATGCAATGTTTAAAACAATAAGTTCTAAGTCCAAACATTATAACAATTATATAACTTTTCCTCTTTTTATATTGACTGCTAAACATCAGGTAAACAGAATGTAAAGATTACCTTACCAAACCCATTCATTTTAACATGCATCTGTGCATGCTTTCTCAGAGAGAAATCTGTTAGTACTCAATAAACTTATTCTCAAATAAGTGTGTAAAGGATTGCAAAGGATTATGTCCCACTAAATTCACTTAGGTGGTTGGAACTGCAGTGGCTGAGAATGCATTCCTATAAGTGCTTACTTGGTATGTGGAACTAAGTTCCACTGAATCAACAGGGTTTATTTCTGAGCATCAACAGTGCACTTTAAGTCTGCAATCTTGTATGCCTTTACTTGGAGAAAAACCTCACTGAATTTAGTGGGACTTACCTTTGGAGTAGACATGCATCATATTGCACTTTTACTCCTGAGTAGACATATACAAGATCACCAAGGTCAATTATGTAATGTGCATTACACAGGAGCTTTGAATTGACTAGAAATTAAAAATGACACTATGAAACCATGATAATTTCTCTCCAATAGGATGACAAGCTAATGCGATCTCATCAAGGGCTATTCCAACAGCTTTCTGTTACTGCCTATCATTTCCAACTGCAATGCAGCAATTTGATCAAACATTGTATTACTTGCATTAAAACTAGATTTAAGAGAAGCATTTTACCACATTACCTTCACATCCTGCCAAAGTGTAAGGAAGAAAAGAAACAAAGACAACTTTTTTCTTTCTAGGAAGCTCTTGGAACACTCCTGAAAAGTCAAAGAACTGTACTAGCAAAGCATGCATTTTCCAGCTGCCAAAGAACTGGTCAGCTGACTAATGACCTTGCTTAAAAAGCAAATACAACTTTTACTGAGATAGCAAAGAAGGTTACAAATATAATTCATGTACAGGCATGCTAAATGCATGACATTATTAAGGATCCTTGTTGAGAAAGAAGTTAGTTATGCTTTCTAC